AGTCACGTGAAAAACGTTCATGGGGCTCTCAGCCACTACTTCAAAATTGATGGGGCAGAGCGCTGCTTCCCCACACAGCTCCTCCCTGTCGATCCTGTCGCTCACGTACAGGTTCCCGGTTTCGGCGCTGATGCTGAAGGGCTGCCCCTTCCCCAGGGAGAGGGTTTGCAGATTGTGATTTCCTGTCTCAAGTCTCAAATCTTTGGCAAGATTTCCCACAACTGAACCTTGCTCCATTTCCTCTGGGATGGAATACCGAATCTGCTCTGAGGCCGTTTGGCAAAAGAAAGGCACCAAGAAGAAAAGCACTCGCCTCCTCGCAGCCCCGTCCTCTGCCTGGCTGCCCATTGCACCTCCTGGAAATGTCCTTTTGTATGATCAGACCAACTGCCGCCCCAGTCTTAGAACCGATGCCAAAATCTTCTACGAGGCAGCATGAGTCGGGCCACTCCTTGCTTCCAAGTTCATAGACGCCGCGGTGTTTTCCTTTTCTCAGCAACGATGTTTGCACATTCCTGTCTACTGCTCTTTCCTGGATCAGCAGTCCGTGAACGAGCCGTCGCTTTGCAGGAAGCCTGCGCCGGTGGATGCCCAGCTTCTTCTCCAGGGGATCTGCCTTGGTCAACAGCGGCACTCAGAGGCCCAGATGGAGAACTGCAAGGCAAGCTTTGCTTTTAATCTCAGGACTTGGATGGGATTCCCAGCCGTTTTGATGCTTATTTATTGTAACTGAGGCAAAAGGTGTCATATGGCCCATGGTATTTTTAGAACGTTGTTTCTGAGTTTTATCAACAGGAGAAGCAGAAACTCAGTTTCTCTCAAAAAAGCACAAGGGGAGAATCCAGGAATATATTTCTATGTTTCTGTATTCTGTTCTTCAGGTGGAAACAGTAGCTGTTCTGCCACTCACCAAGTTTCCCAGGTCGCTTTTGCAATTTCCTCAAACTTACCCACCTGAGTGCTGAAGAATTCCTGAGGAAAGGCCCAATTGTGAAATAAAAACACAGTAACTGAAGCAAAGCATTTTGTCACTTGCACACGCTCCCAAGGTATTTTCAAATTACACAGGGAGAGAGATATTCCCACTAATGACCGCATGCTTCAGAGAGAGCTCTGCAGCCTGATTGGTGAACATGCCTCTGGGTTAACGTATTTGTTGATTTGCGTATTTGAAATAACTTTCACTGAATCTTTATGTTTGCATTGTGTGATGCAGGTGGTTCACTTTAGGTCCTTGATGTAATGTTCCCCTGCCAACAGCAGAATGTATTACTCCATTCATGAAATGCACTGTTTACATTTCTTTTTTCCCTTTCCTGTCATTCCATGATTTGCAGCTGGTTCTGCCACCCCGATATGATACGGCAAGCAAAGCAAACCAAAGTGACCCCTCCGTCGGGCTCCAAACCCCAAGCCTTGGCCCTGGCTGCACTTTATTTCACCCAGAGGCTGCATGTAATGTGCTCTTCATCTTGCCATCCACCGCATTATCAGTAAGATGATAATGTGATTTACGTCCTGTAAGTGCCATGGAAGAGCATCTGGTTTACTTCTGAGTAGACATGCAGCTGTTCCTTACATGGGAGAAAAGCATGGAAGCAGCACTGCAGTTGCCTTTAGGCTCTGAACGTACTTTTAGGGCCTGGAATTACTCTTCAGTTCACTGGGCGAGAGAGAGAGAGGCCAAGAAAGGAGGGCAAGGGAGGCAGGAAAGCAACTGAAGGTTGACTTTGCTGGTCTTCTCAGAGGTCCTACTTTTTATCAAAGACCAACAGAACACTTCTGCTTGCAGCACCATTCCACCCTCATCCCACAGAAGAGTGAAGCAGAGATGCAAAGATCTGGCTTGAATCCACCTCTTGTGCTTCCCAGGAGGTGACCAAGCTGAGATCAAGTACAAATGCTTGGGAATGCTGGTGGACCTCTTCTTTGCAGAAGCCTGCAGCACTCTGTGCAAATTATGCAAAGGTATGCGCAGTCCACAAGTCACATGAGCAGAGCTCCACTTGCACAACAGCTGTGTGCAGGGTGCAGGTGTGTGCACAAGGTGGTCCTGCAAACTCATTTGCACATGCCCCCGGCTGGATGCCCAACTGCACGCTAGGTGCAAGGCAGACTTGAGACAGGAAAAAAGGAGCCCGGAGGAGATCCAAAGGATTCCCACCACCAAATTGGACTCTTCCCACATTGCTACACTGAAGCCACTCTTCTCCTCTCCAGAAAAGTGCCCGTACGGTACACACTGGAATATTTACCTCAGAAAATTGCAGCATATAAGTTATCATGATATAATAATGGCATAAAGATATCAGGGATACAAATGCAGAAATAGCGCGGTGAGGACAGATTGAGGTGAATGCCACATGATGTACGAGTGGTTTGAGCATTATGAAGCTGGAAAAATGTTCAGTGCAGATCCTCTGCCCCACCACCAACCCAGGTCTCAACACTTTACGATCCACTTCAAGAAAAGAAGCTACATAAAATATAAACTGAACAATCCAAGCTAAAATATACCATGAGTGCGTAATTGAGGCAATCATGCAATGCAAGCCATTCCAGAATGAAAGCTTACCTTGTCAACTTCCTCCATCAAAGAATCAGTATTATTTACCACATTGTCTCCAAAAGGCACACCAGATCTTTCCCTGCTAAGAATATTGTCAGTAACCTGAACATTGGGTGTTACAAAGGTGAACTCATTTCGCTTGGACTCAGAGGAAAGGCAAAGCTGGTAGGAGTATGGCAGAGTTCCCTCCTCAAAGTTGGGGGGGAAGAAGGCTCCGGCCTTGGGGTGGGGGAGCGGCCCGAGGCACTGCAGGAAGGTGGGGCTCCCAGAGTGCCGCAGCCTCATGGCCACGGCCAGGATCACGGTCAGCAGGAAGAGGAAGGACATGACGGCCAAGGCCAGCACCAGGTAGAACTGCAGCTCCGCCTGGGTCTCGGTGCTGCCCGGCTGGCTCTTCATCTCAGGAAGGGCCTCCTGGAAGTTCTCGGCAAAGACCAGGTTCAGGGTGGCGGTGGCCGAGAGGGGCGGCCGCCCGTTGTCCTTCACCAGCACCACCAGCTTCTGCTTGGCCACGTCTCTCTCCGTGAAGGGCCGGGCCGTCCTGACCTCACCCGTGTGAGCCCCCACAGTGAAGAGGGTGGGCTCCGTGGCCTGGGCCAGGTGGTAGGAGAGCCAGG